TCTATATCTAGATCTAGATCTAGATCTAGATCTAGATCTAGATCTAGATCTAGATCTATATATCTATATAATTTTATTAAAGAGTTTTAAAAAGGAAGATTAAAAACGAAGACAAACTAATATAAAGTAAGAAAAAGAAAAGAAAAGAAAAGAAAAGGGAATCCAAGAGGAAGCTAAACAGGCAAAAAGGGGGGGGAAAGGAAAAGAAAAATAGAAAAGAAAAATACAGAGAAGAGGCTTCCGATCTTCTTTACAGCAGTTCTAAGTACAATGATAAATTTGCCTCTTACTCAGTGGTTAACACATAACTCTCTTCTTTCTATAACCTCTCCGGTCTCATCATCAAAACCGTAAATCGTAAGTTTGGTTTTTTTCTGTCTTATGCAAAAAGTCCATCAGGGGTTTCCAGTCAGCAAGAAATGTACGTAGAGATTGCCTTTCCTCTGATCAAAAAAGTCCATTGACCTAGGACGGTGATTCTTGAAGTGAAGCTGGCCGTTTCTCCTTTTCCGCCCCGGGGCTGGAACTCAGGTCGACTCAGCCCCACCTCCCCACGTGCACCTCCCCACGGTTGGTTTGTGCGAACGGCTCAGTGGCTGCAAATGGTCCATCGATAGGGATAACAGGTAACTCAGAAGCAGGCAGCATGGAACAGGTCTCAAATGTGGTTTGCACCAATCGTGATTCCGCGTGCCCTTTGCCCAGCGGAACCGCGATCTTGCACAAGCGCTCCCGAGTGAAAAGTGCAAATCAGAAATGCAATGGCTGATATCTAACAATGGGGCTTGGTGGGGCAGGAGACTCATCCTCACGGGTCCATGCGTCCTCAGAGCTTTCTATCGTAGGCCATTCCTAGCCAGTTGGCGCTCAGAATTACTCCCTTTAGGATGCGGGCTCCCAGAAAGACTTCAAAGGATGATTGGAAAAGAATTCAATGATTTGAAAAGAATTCAAACCACTTGGCTTCGTTTTGGAGGCAGTATACATTTGGGGCCAAATTCAGTCCGAAACCTGTTTAATTCCCGTTCGGTTTAAAAACGGAGGGAGGGTAGGAAGGCACACAGAAATGCCACTGTAATCTAGGTTTTATTTTGGGGAAAGCTTTTCCAGATGCCAGTGCAGAGAGGCGGTGTTTGCAACGCCCCTGTATCTTCTAAACGTTTATTTAGTTTAGATCCACAGTCGAAGGGAGCTTGAGAATCACCTTCTAGCTTGGTGTTCCCCCAACTTAAGATAAGTAGGGGAGAACCAGTGTGGGTCGGGGGAAAGAAGCTGGATTAGGAGTGGGGAGACCCCAGTTCTGGTGCCCCTTCAGCCACAGAAGCTCCTGGGGGGACTTGGGGATGGTCCTCCCTTTCACCCCTAGGCTAGAAATTGAAAAACATCTACATATCGTCATTGCACCAGGGTGACAGATTACATCCATAACCTCCAACGAAGGAAGGCTTCATCGTGCAATGGATAGATTTGGGATAACGATGATGATGAAGATGTAATGAGTAAGGTCCATGTCCCTGGAACCAGGCCAGGAAGGAAGGCAAGGGGCTGGACTACAACTCCCCACTGCCCCGGCCAAGCTTGGAGAGTGAATATGGGAGTTGTCGTCTCTAGTCTGGGTTTAGTGGGAAAGGCCACCTTGGGGTTCATGGGTTAAAAACGTTCTCCTGAGATTCTTGAAGTCCTCAGCGGGAATAAGGGGAGGAAAAGAGGTCTTCTCCGACATGGGCAGGGCGAAAACGGCATGGCGTGCCCCTTAGATAAATGTTCCGGAGTCTTTTGGAGAGGTTGGCGTTCTCTGCCAGATTCCCCAAGAGAACCTCCTGATGGAGGAAGCTCGTGACGGCTAGGAGAGGTTGAAAATGGCTACGTTGGGGTGTGAAAAGGCTAGCAAAGAGATCTCCTTGGCTTCTTCCTCCTCCTTGCTTTGACTGTTTGTCGGAAGCAGAGGAAACGGTGGGGAAGTTAACCACCAAGCCCAGGCGACGCTCAGCATCTGAAAATAGCCTTATCTTCCCCACCAAATGTTGTGGTTAAACTTGCACAACTCCTGCCGAGCATTGGCTGGGTTTCGCCCATGGTGCCTGTTTTTGGAGACCCCCAGTCCTCCTGGCCGTGCTGATACATGTGTCTGCAGCAGGCAGGGGGGGAGCGATCGGGGCAAACGCCGCTCTTTGTGTTGCAAGGCTACTAACGCCTGGGGAGCAAAGATCAGCTGGAAAGAGGGTAACCAGGAATGTATGGCTTGTGTGTTGGCCACCAAGGGGCCTAAGTGTAATTTTGGGCCCCTGTGTCTGAAATCTTGGAGTGTCATTGACAAATTAGCTGGACTCCAGTCAGACAGTTGAGCCCAATTATCTTTAACCAGTGTTTCTCAACCTTAGCCACCTTTTAAAATTTTGGGCTTTAAAACCCCCACTCCCCCCTCCCCCCCCCCCCCTCCTGGGCGCGGTGGGGGGCGGTGTGCAGTGG